GTATGAAGCCCTTGGGTGCCTACTTACAGATAAGCACTTTATATATTTGCATTGGGTAATTTAGTCCTAAATCAACCCTAGTTAGTAGGATTACTTTGATTACTAAATTACTGACCATGATATGAACTAAAACAATCCAGAAGTCATTTCTTCTGAAGAGACCAGAAACATTGGAGCAACTCAGATTGAAAGGTTTTTTAAAATAGATTTTGATACAGACTTACAAGTCCTTATCTGAAAACCCCAAATCCAAATCCAAAACAGTTCTAAAAACTGAACATTTTTAGTGACAAATTTCGTAGCAAAATTTGACAGGCGTTGTGAATATCCCTGGAGGAAATACAGTGTTTTCCCATGCAATCACTCTTTCCCTTGGAGCATCTCAATGAGTCTTATTTTGGGAAATCATGCCTGAGATAATCTTGCTATTAGTACTGATGGTCTCCTCGTTTATTTTTTGCATAAATTTGGATTTTTTTCAGTTTACTTCGATTCATTCTGTACTACCTGACTATGCCAGATTGTTATCTGATGGCTTCACAGCGTAATGATCACATCTATGTGCCCAGTTCTTCAGGGCTGATGAAGCAGTTTTGTATTCATTTCTTATTTGGTCCTCAGCAAACCCCTACTTTTCAGTAATTGGAGTGGAGACCCAGGACCCAGCGGGAACGTGGCAGAAGCGGAGATGAAGCCTGGCTCTGGCCTTTGGGATCGCCCCGCCCCCGGTGGAGACTAAGTCCAGGGCTGTCTCCAGGGCAGCTTGTCAATGGCTCTCCCAGGCAGGAAGAGCTCCATGTTTTAGATAACGCACAACCTTCACACCTACAAGGGAAACAGGTAAAGAGCAGTGGTGGAACAGCCGTGGCCCAGGAAGAGCAGTGTGGGAAGGACGTAGGGCCTGTGGGAGACGCATGGATGCTTCAGCAGCCCGCCCTCCTCGGCCCCAGGTTTCTCTCTGCTCGGTAAGGAAGCTGAAAAGGCAAGATGAGTTAGGAGATATTTTATTGGCCTGAACTGGTTCAGGAAGTTTACGGCTTCTACAGCAGGTTGTGAAAGGGTCTGGCTCCCAAACCTTGGATTTGTTCCCTTGATATCCAGGAATGCAAGACTGCGGAAGCACTAGTTCAATTCTTCATCCCAGCACAGACCCCCGAGACCCAGGAGGGGCATCACTGCCAGGATGCCAGTAAGTCAGGCGGCGGAAGAGCTGGGGCTGGAATTCAGCTTCGTTACTGCTGTGAGCTCTCAGCCTCAGCACCTGCGGACGGGAGGCTGGGATCCCTTGTGCGGTATGTGCTGCGCTCTGCCAGCAGAGGGCGCCATGAGACCGGGAACGTTCTCAGTAACGTTGGTTTCCACTCCAGGCATTACTGGAAGGGGGTCAAGATTTAACACAATGTAATATAGGGATACGGCATTCCTGGATTGTGAGAACTGAGTATTTGAATATGTGGTTTTTACAAAAGGATATGAAACATCATGATGTACTCTAATGTGGAGATAGATAGAGCTGGGACAAGGGGAGCTCTTTTGAAAACCAGATTTAGGGAAGCATCAGTGTTGGCTGAGCCCCTGGGGGGAGCCACTGAATGTTCTGCCCTTGTCATCCAGGCACAGAAACACACTGCCCTTTGTGCTGAGATAAAATGGGCAGAACACACGGGACTCACTCCCTCTCTAGAGCAAGGCACTGCTTCCAAGCTCGGTTCCCAGGGAAGAAGGCAGACAGCTGGGATGAAGCTCTTCCCCGTGCCTTCCAGCTGCTCAGCTTGGTGACAGATCACTTTGCAGGGCCTTCACGGGGATGAGATGAGACTGCACGAAGCTGCCCGGGGCTATGCCCAGCGCAAGGGGGACGGACCCAAGAAGACCTGTGCTCGGGGGAGGGCCTTTGGCTACTAGCTTGGGCTGGAGATGGCCGGTGTCCTGCGGTGTTTGGCAGATTACTGGAGAGCAGAGGCTTGGTGCCTGGACTGTGGGTGACCTGCTGGGCACAGTCTTGTGCTTGAACAGGAAGGCCCTGATCAATTTAGCGTGGGGCAACAGGGCAGTGCCCTGTTAGAGACCTGGTTCTGGGCCCCACCCGGCCCCCCGGACCTCTGGGTGGGGTGAGTCTGCAAAGCCTGAAAGAGCACTTCCTGTTCGCACCGGGCCTGGGACCGCAGGCTCACCAGCAGGTGGTGCTGTCAACTCAGACCAAGGTTCCTAAATCCGAGGGGTGTCCAGGTAGGTCTTCACTAAAATCGCTTTCCCCACCTCCCTCTGCCCATCCTGCTCCTGCCCTTCCTCTGCATCCCGCAGGTTGGAAAGGTTGTGAGTGAGGTTACAAGTCCAATAGGGACTGACGTGGAAGTGGCCGGGGAATCCACCAGGCCTGGCGGGCAGGTGTGTAGAGGAGGATGGGCCAGTGGCGATGCTGCAAGTTTGGTGAAGTGTGGATCTTGCTGCTCTTTTAGGGGAAGCTGGGAGAGTTGCTTAATACATGCAGCCGATGTTCATTTGGATTTTGGGAGAGGGAAGAGGGCTGGAGGTACCTGTTTGGGTGTTTTCCACATAGAAATTATAAGTGAAGCCACAAGTGTGGATAGAATCTCTGGGGAGTAAAAGCTTTCAGAGAAGCTGAGAAGCGTGTGGGTTGGAAACAGAGGTAAGTTCCCTTTAGGGTCCACGAAGGGACACGGCAGCCCGAGGAGAGGACAAAGAGGGCTGTGAGATGTGGGCGGGACCCTTGAGGGAGAGAGATGGGAGCAGAGAGGATCTCAAGCCGTTGAAGAGACGGGGCATCCGGCCCTCTGAGTTGACTGGCCAGTCTTTGGCAGGCGCAGGAAAGTTTGCAGTTGAAACCACTTTACTGCATAGGGTGAACAGGAGGCCAAAGGAAGCCTATTTTCTGCTGAAATTACCAAGAAAAGTTGTCACATGATGATTCTGTGAACAGGTGAAATGGATGTAACACTGAAAACAAGATGGTGAAGGTAAGGAAGGACACCAACACTTGCTGAAGGCTATTTTATTTCACTCTCACAGCTGCCTTCAGAGGAAGGCCTTATTACACCCATTTCATAGAAGAGGAGACTGAGGTTCAACAGAGCTATTTTGCCTAGATCATAAAGCTAATAAATGGTAACAAATGGCAGAACCAGCTTTCGGCCAGCTTGAGTGCTTCTAGATTCCAAGTTCCTTCCTCTCTGTCGAATTACCTTCACGTGTCACTTGCCTGCTGGTCTGGACTGTCAGCTTCCCTTTGAGCCAGTTCCTCTGTGTCCCTGCCTAGCTACCCACTTAGTAAAATTATACAGTAGACACTTTCAGTCCATATCTTCATGATGTCCCTCTGAAAAAAATTTTACCTTTTTGAAATTTTCCTCTCCTTTGATGTTTGCGAAGTTGCCTAACCGTTTCTTCTGTTTCACTGACTGTCTTTCCACTGTTCATCTCCTTGGTGGCTGGTTTCTCCAGGACTCTGTGGTTGGACATCTTCTCCATTAACTTTGCACCAGAATCACAAAGTAAAATGACTTTAGGGGCCAGGGAGAGAATGAAACTGTGACCAGCAAACTGATGAGACGTGGCCGGCTGCATTCAGACATGGAACATTGATATGGAGATGTGGGGTCCAGGTGAGAGGGAGCGGGGATGGTGGGTATCAGAGTTTGTGAGAAATGAACCAAACAGTGTCTACCAGGGGGCAGGCATGGAGAGACTGCGAAATGCAGGCTCAAGGAAAATTAGCTTTGAGGAAATTTATAGGATGTTTGGAATAAAGGAACCCAAAAGAACATGGCCCAAGTGGGCTAGTTAGACGTCAGAGGCTGGAAGGTCACTTTTTACACTGTGCCCTTAGACAAAATCTCTGGGCTTTATTTATAATAAGTGAGCAAATAAGCAATCAGGCTCTGTCACACCAGTTTTCAGGCCAGCGTTGGAACTGGCAGAGGATGTGGACTGAGGTTGAAAGACTGTCACTGTGGAGATGGGTGATGAAGTCCAGAATGCTGACAGGGTCCCAAAGGGCGCTGGAAAAGGGGGCGTGACTTCCACTAAAACAGGGAATTCCACTCATCTTTTCATTTGAAAAGATTTTAGTTTCAATAAATCTTCAGTGTCTTTTCTAGGGACTCCACCAGTATCAGGGAGTTGAAATCTGATGACAGGAAACCAAACCTCTGAAACTACTGTCGATCCTCAAAAAAATTTTGGGTGAATAGAAGAATTGAAATGTAGCAGTTTTGCACTGTTACATTTCCAAGGTCCTACTGTGAGTTTAGGGGTCTTTTGAACATATCCTTCAGGAAGCCTGAATGGTCAGCACAGGATGAGGGGAAGGTTTTCTGTGGCAGGTCCTGAGCCTTTGAGAAATGACCCAGGGGATTTGAGGACCCCCAGTCAGAGTTCACAGGCATTTGTAAGATCCACAGACACAGGCAGGACAATAAAAGCTGCTTTACTTTGGGGTGTGAGGGAGAATCTCTAGGAATGCTTGGAATTTCATGGGTCTCATCCAAAAATACCACCATTTGAGAAGAAGACTTAGGGAGACTTCCCTGGTGGTCCAGTGGTTAGGAGTCCACCTTGCAATATACAGGTTTGATTCCTGACTGGAGAACTAAGATCCCACATGCCATGAGGTAACTAGGCCTGCGTGAGGCAACCACTGAGCCCTCGAGCCACAACTAGAGTCTGTGGGCCCCAAGAGAAGACTCCGAGGGACACAACAGAGCTTCTGCATGTCACAGCTAGGATCCAACAGAGCCAAATAAATAGACACTTTAGTGCCATCAGCCCCACCCCAGGGGGCCTTGAGTTCTTTCACCGAAAGGACAGTGGACCACAGCACAAAGCTACCTTTCAAATGCCTGGGTCACGTGAAGAGTTGAAGCCTGATCAGGAAAGCTCCCCCATAACCAACTGCTGTGGGGAAATGCAGACGATGCTGGGGGGAGTCTGGAAATGCATTTCCTTACCTGTGGCCCCTTCTGCTCCTTCCTGCCGACTTCTCAGAGCAGCCTTGCTTCCTCAATGTCGTCATCATTACTGTCACTCAAGTAAGCAGCTGGAAGATGTCCCCCCACCTCCCAAGTCATCGTGGTCCCTCTGCGTGTGCCCCGCTCTTCCTTGTTTTCCTAAGGCAAAAACAGTCCCAGGGATTACATTCCACCCCGCCACCTGCTGTCAGGAGAGGGGGATGTGCCCTGAATTTTGAGGCCAGTGCAGCCCAGGACCCTGCAGTCACGAGAGGGACTTGGTGCCTGTTCTAAGGTCAGTTCCTCAGATAGACTGCAGAATTCCTCTCGTGTCTCCAAGGCCCCAGACGTGCTTGTCTCAGGTTTGTGGTGAGGTTTTCATGTCCTTCCCTGACTCTTCTCTTTCTGCACCTCTGGGACCAACATCATTAGCTAATCAATGTGTTCTTATCCTCAATTCCTGCACCTAGGAGAGCAGCTGCTTCTAGCTGACGAGCCAGCACCTGAGCAGAGCCTTAGATCTCCCTGAGACTTACCTTTCACTACACTCCATGCCATGACTCTGCTTTAACTCCTGATCTGGGGCCTTGTCTTCCTAACTCCATCTTTTCCTGTGTTATTTCTACCTAGAATACTCGCCCCACTACCCAACAGTTCCTGTCCTTGGGTTGCGGGATGCCTAATGCACAAAACAAACACTCTTTCCTTTCTTCTAATAGAAAACTCATGAGGATCCATGAAAAGATGAACAACAGCTCTGTAGGGTGATAACAGAAGGCCCTACCCCAATTTCCCGGGAAACTCTGACTCACATCACTGTTAGTAAGGAGAGTAGGAAGTTAGTTCTAGATCATGCCTTTCCCTCTCCTCCCCACCAACATCAGTACAGGAGGGAGGGGTAAGGAGCATGTGGACTCACATTGTCCACTGACTGCAGCTCCAGGAAGGTGGCCGCACACACTGGGATGCCAGACAGCAGCCCCTCGGATGCTCTGGGGCAGAGCCTTCCTGGATGACCGACCAGAAGGGATCTTCCAACACTCATGTGGACAGTGTGGGCTGCAGAAACGCTCCATGTCCTGTTCTCATCACTGTTGTTGTCATCACCCAGTTATGTCCAACTCTTTGTGACCTCATGGACTGCAGCATGCCAGGCTTCCCTGTCGTTCACCATCTCCCAGAGTTTGTTCAAACTCATGTCCATTGAGTCAATGATGCCATCCAACCATCTCATCCTCTGTCACCCTTTTCTCCTTCTGCCTTCAATCTTTCCCAGCGTCAGGATCATTTTCAGTGAGTCAGCTCTTCGCATCAGGTGGCCAAAGTATTGGAGCTTCAGCTTCAGCATCAGTCCTTCCAATGAGTATTCAGGGTTGATTTCCTTTAGGATTGACTGGTTTGATCTCCTTGCTCTTTAAGTAACTTTCTAGAGTCTTCTCCAACAGTTTCACCAATGGGACCAGGCCTAGACAGAGCTCTCCATTCACGGATCTCTCCCAGCATGTGTCCATTACTCCCTCAGAAAACATACAAACTCTGGCATTTCCAGCAGCTATGCTTTGCTGCACCCCAACTGCATGCCTCCTGAAAAGCAGGATGCACTTCCTTCTCATAGCAGGTCAGCTCTGCACTGTGTCAACACTCATGGAGGTGTAGAGAGTTAACCTGGCAAACCCCTTCTTACAAAATCCTCTACAATTTTTTCTTTTCCCCTGAAATCTTTCCTGGAGTCAGCAGCCTCATCATTCTACCTGTAAGTCCGCTTGTCTGGGCCCCTCTGGCTGAGCTGGCTTCAGCACTGTCTTCCCAGACTTCAAGTCCCTTCTTTTCTTTTGTAGAGTGACTACTATAATTTGTGTATTCACTTCCATTCCTTTGCTGACCTAACAAGGATTCTCCTTGGAATTTGCTCCTTCAACCAGATGCCGTTGGTACTATCCAATGTCTGTTCTCTCATTTTGCTACAGTAAATGAACTCAGGGTGTTCCGCTGGGCATGTGGCCACCAGAACAGACCTTACCCCCCAGAGAGCACGGCTCTGTGAGTACAGGGCACCAAAGGGATATAGGTGTTCTGAGACGCGTCCTCCAGAACAGGAGCACACCCTTTCCTGCCTTTGTCTCCTTTTTTGCCTGGAATGTGGATGTTATGGCTGGAATTAGAAAAGCAATTTTGGATCAAGGGTTAAAGGCTTTGTGCTGGAGATGGCAGGTGCAACCAAAGAGAAAAAACAGGGGCTCTGGTGGATGATCGAAGCTTTTATTTAAATTAAAAAATTTAAAGTTTTCTTCTTTCAAACAACATCTCATAACATGTACACACAGAAGAGACCCAACAAAATTAACTCTTCAAGTTTTTTGTTGTAATTTTTCTATGTGCATTATGTTTATAACTGAAAAAACCCTCAAATTCAATGATTTGAGGCCTTTAAAAAATTTTAGTTTCTCTATTAAGATTTCCATTAATTTCTTGTATCAAAGAAAATAAATAAATAATTGATAACTTGATTCTTAAAATATTCTAGTTTTGACACAAAGGAATAGTGAATTTCTGGCAATAGAGGTCAGATTTGGATCCCTGATTTATCTCTCTAGATGTTCAAATCTTTATTTGAGGCTTACATTTAACTGGCCCTGTTTTCCTGTAAAACAGTTGAGCTCCAAGACTCCCCTTGACAGCAACATAGGATAAGGAGTGAAGGAGGCAGAGATCAGGGCATGGGGTGCAGAGCTGCTCCTAGAGGGATAAGAAAGTCACTTATTTTCTATGTTCCTGCTTTGCCAAACAAAAGCTGATGAAGTGTTTTTGTCTGGGGAGAAGGTAGTTGCTGGCCTTCTACTCATTCCTGATCAAACTTAGTCAAAACAAGGAGGCATGCCTGGGCCCAGCCTTGGGATGTGGTTCAGAGGCCAGGTCAAGGGCTCCTGCTTGTAGGGGTGGGAGCTGGGGTGGAGGGACACACTCTCCTTGGCTGGCCTCCAAGTTCTGAGGCCTAAACTGTTTGGAATCATGGGGGGATCGTGGCCATCATCCTTGGCAGTGCTGGCCAGCCTCCTGTTTTTACAATCTGCAAGTTTCTTTCACTTAGTGCAATGAGAAGTGATCCTTTTGCCTGATCCTCCTTCTTTAACCTTAAAGTTGGGTCATGTGTGGGCTGAAAGGGAATGAATCTGTAATCACACTTGATGGTAAAACCAGAGTAAAAGGCTCTTACTAATCCAACTTTTCAGAAATTCAGATGTAAAGTTTCATCAAACCTTAAATATAATTAAGGCCCTATCATGAAAAATATATAAGGCTCTGGTTCTCTTCTCTTCTAGATCTTTTTACCCAAGGAGATTTTGTGCCATTCAAAGAACCAGCTCTCTTCCCATTGTCTCACACTGAAACAGTCAGTAGTGTCTGACTGTTTGTGACCCCCTGTGAGCCCACCAGGCTCCTCTGTCCATGAGCTTTCCCAGGCAAGGAAACTGGAGTGGGTTGCCATTTCCTTCTCCAGGGGGACCCAGGAACCGAGCCTGCACGTCTTTTGTCTCCTGCGTTGAGGCAGGTTCTTTACCACTCAGCCACCGTGCGTCCATCCCTGTGGACACAGCCCACTGTGTTCACAGCCAAGTATAGAGGCTTGGGACCCAGAAGGGACAGGTGCGTGAGGGCAGCTGAAGGCAAGAGCTACATGTGCAGACTCAGGTGGAGGTCTGGCTAAGTGAGACATTTGTTTGGCAAGGATGGGGGGTGAGTGTGCATCTGTGAAAACTTTAGAGAGGTAGAAAGGAAAAGAAAATTGCTCAGTCATGTCAGACTCTTTGTGACCCCATGGACTGTAGCTTGCCAGGCTCCTCTGTCCATGGGATTCTCCAGGCAAGAATACTGGGCTGAGTTGCCTGCCATTCCCTTCTCCAGGGGGTCTACCTGACCCAGGGATCAAACCCAGGTGGGCAGGATGGGGGCCTCATAGGAGGACCCAGCTTCCTGCCTAATTGTGCATGGTGTTTTCTGGAAGTAAACTGGAGCATCAGTCTCAGGGTAATTCCCCAAGGAAAGAATTTAAAATCCCATTGCAGGCTGAACATGGATTACAATTAAAACGAGCCTTCCTGCAGAAGAGGGATCGGGGCAATTTCTAGCCTGATAGGAGATCTCCAGGGTGGGGAACCCAGCACAGTGAAAGGAAAGAGGCTTATGCAGCCCACATTACTATGAAGTTTCAGAACTCATATGACAAATGAAAATATTAGTGGCTTCCAGAGTAAAATAAATACCAACAGTAACAACAAAATTCCACCATCCAGGGGCAGGATTCAACATATTTAACACTAGGTATGGCCTGGGCACTGGCCCATCAGAATGGATGCTCTGGAAGCACTCTCAGGTGGGACCCTGCTGGCCCTTTAACTGTTTGGATGGTGGGAAGGTTTAGAGGTCCAAGAGGAGAGGCTGCAGGTGCTGGGACATGCTGGGGCGGGGACGGGGGCTCACAGGATGCTGACCATCTACCAACTGGTGCAAAAGAATCTCTGTATTTTAATAATAGGTGTGGCTATGGTTCGTGTAGGCCAGCTGACTATCCGTCCTGCCCACTCCCCACCCCACTCTACCAAACCAGGGAAATGAATTAACGTGGTTGGTACTCTCTGTTCTGGTTCAATGCCTTTGGGCATCTGAGAAGCAAAAATTCAAACCGAAATTTCTTACTTAGCCATGTTAGGTATCAAATATAAGTTATTTTCAGATTCGCAAGGCTTCAGAAGATGTACCTGCAATACAATGATGGGTTCAGGTTTGGTGGGACCTGAAGTCTGTATAACCTAGGGGACTCTCGTTAAGAAAAACATTAAAAAATTACTACTCCATAATTAGGTACAAAGTAAGTAGTTATTTAGAATCATACAAGAAGTTACAACTAAATAAAATATTAGCTTTAAATATTATAAATATAAAATCCAGAAAAAGTTCATTTCATTGACTGATTTCTATTATGCTTTTATACTAAATTTTCCTCATACTTTTTGATTTTGATTACTTCTTCATATGACAAAAGTCTTACACTACTTTTACAGAGCGATTAGAAGCATTCAGTCCTTTCTCTGTGGTTAATCAAAATTTGTTATTTCCTATTGGTAATATAGGAAGCGAAGTGTTCCTATTGGGGTATGACCTCAGCCCTGCAGGGGTGAAGCCTGATGGGGAGAGGAGGACATGGCGAGTGGGGTGGCTCCTGGCTTTGCAAGAACCCAGCTCTGCGTGGAGACGGAGGTGTCACAACGCAGTGCGCCCACCATTCAGCTTGCCTGAGCCACACTGTGAACGTGCATCCAGGCAGCTCCACCGCCACACGGGGGGTCCTTGGTGGCTCAGAACAGCCACTGCCTACAAGCAAGGTGCAGACAAGGGTTTGCCTGCAATGCCATAGACCCAGGTTTGATCCCTGGGTTGGGAAGATCCCCTGGAGAAGGGAATGGCTACCCACTCCAGAACTCGTGTCTGAAAAATGTCATGGACAGAAGGAGCCTTGTGGGCCACAGTCCATGGGGCAACAAAGAGTCAGACATGACAGAATGACTAACACTTTCACCACCACTCAGGAAGGTGGGGGGATGCAACAGAGGGCAGGCAGAAGAGACATGTTGCCCTAAACAATTGCTCTTAAAGTAACTAATTTTTGAAGAATTTGTAAAAACACACACTCATGTCAATATAAGGCAAAGGCCCTTGAAAGATGTTCATTAACAGGGCAGGAAATCCACTTTATTCCTCTGTGTCTATCTTGGGAAGCTTCTGCAAGGCTGTGCTCTGGCAAAAACGAGGAGCAAATAATAAAAGAAGCCGTGGGATCCAGGAGACAGTGGGCCCACGTTGGGAGATCTCTGAAGAGACTTCCTGGAAGATAACAATTCTCAGCACTAGAAAGATCACGTCTTCACAGACATGGGAGCAGGGGGCTCCTGGGACACACACAAGTTTCTCCAAAGTGCAGACCATGGATGTTGTGAAGGTGCCCTGTGGATGCCATGACAGAGCCTGGCCACAGATGCAGCCTGTGCTTATGGGTTTCAACAGCTCTCACCACTAAGATAGGAGACATCTTGCAGTAGACCTAAAAAACACTAAGATGGAAAGAAAACAAGATGCCCAGGTGATGCTTACCATCTCTGACAGCTAGGGATCCTAAGTTACAAATCAGAGCAGATATATTTTCCATTGGACTTTGATTAATAAGTGAGTGTTGGTGATTATATTTTAAAAAGAGAGAAACACAACATGCCTATAATTAGTGAAAGAAGAAATAGAGAGGTAAAGATATAATTTAAATTTATAAAGTAGCGAGAGATAAATTGAAAAAGTATTATACACCTATATTTCATATACATATGTATTTGTATATAGTAGATGAATGTGTTATGGAGGAAGATATTGAGTGTATAGGAAAACAAAACCATCATTCAGCATAACAGAGAGCTAATGGATAATACATAGAGCTGATAAATCCAGAAATAGCTCTGTGAGTTTGTTATGGGAATATCAGAGGCAACTGCAGAACCAAATCAGAAATGATTGAATCAGGTTGCTCTAGAGAGCAGGGCTGATGGGGGGAATGTAAGCGGGGACAAATGGTTTTCTTTATCAGTGTCTCTCACTAGTTGATTTTTAGAAAACATGTGCATGTTATTCTGATTAAAAACACCTTTAAACATTTGGAGAAGAGTTCGGCTGAGGGAGCCCACTTGAGCAGGGACACAGGGCTTATGTATGTTTCTGCACAGCCCTGCCAGGCTTCATCAACTAGCTCTGTTCTGCTGCCTTTTCATAGGCGTGTGTGTCCTAGTCAGCTAGGGCTGCTGTCACAAAACACCACATTCGTGAGGCTGAAACAATAGACATTTGTTTCTCACGGTTCTGGAGACTGGAAGTCCAAGATCAAGGTGCCAGTAGACACATTCTTGGCAAGCCCTCTTCGTGGCAGCAGACGGCTGCCTTCTGGCTGTGCTCATGAGCCGGGGTGGGGAAGCCAGCTTTCTGGTGACACTTCTTATAAGGGCCCTAATCCACCATGGGGGCCCTGCCCTCAGGAACCCATCTAAACCAGCCACCTCCCAAAGGCCTCATCCCCAAACAATGGATCCCTGGACCCCCACCTTCAGGGCCTGGGCATCCACATATGATTTTGGGAATACAGCTCAGTCCAAGTCACGTGCTAGGGGGAGTGTTGATGTGCCGTTGTGGCAGGCTGTTAGGTTTGGATTTACACAGTGTTAGGGTTTGGCCGAGGCCACACGGCAAGTTTGTGGCAATGCCTATGCTCCTGTCTCCACTGCTTCTGTCTGTGGAGAGATGCTCACATTGTGCTGTGTCTGTGGGGTCAGCTAAGTCTGAGCAAGGCTAAATAGGCCATCTCTCACTCCCAGCACTCTGCAGAGCTCCAAATCTGCAGAGTGATGTTTCTGAGGAATCAGCGAGAAAAAAAATACCTTTTCCCAAAGCATACTTGTCCCCAAGGCAACAATTCTTAAACTTTTAAATTTCAGGACTCCTTTTATTTTTTGGCTGCACTGGCTTCCAGTGCAGGCGCATGGACTTTCTCTGTTCTCCATGGGTGGGGGCTTCTCTTGTTGCTGGGCACGGGCTCTAGAGTGAGTGTGCTCAGTAGTCGCAACACGTGGGGTTAGTTGCCCAATGGCATGTGGATCTTAGTCTCCCAACCAGGGATCAAACCCGTGTCCCCTTCATTGGAAGGTAGATTCTCAACCACTGGAGCACCACGAATGTCCTCTCTTTTCATTTTTAAAAATTAATAAGGGCTCCGAAGACCTTTTGTTAATATAGTTTAGATCTATCAATATTTATTGAACAAGAAATTAAAGGTAGGAAACCTTAAAACTATTTACTAATTCATTTAAAATAACAATAACAAACAAAATGCATGTTAACATAAATGAAGAATTTTATGAAAAATAATATTTTCAAAAGAAAGTTCAGTAAGAAAAGTGGCTCTGTTTTGTATTTTTACATACCTCTTTGATTTGTTGGAGTATGTTATTATGGCAGAAATGTTTGCAGAAAATCCACAAAAAGGATGGGTATTTATTAATAAATATCTGCTTTGGAAAATTACAGGTCTTCTTTTCTCGATATTACACCAAAACTCAACAACAGTGATTTCTTAAAAGGTTAGTTGCAGTGTGGAATTTGAAACATCAATTAAGTTTTTATAGTCTGTTACATTAAAATCCATTTTTCTATCTTGCAGTTTGAATAGATATTTTACCATTGTACTATTTTGTCATATTTTGTGACTTTGGTCATTTGGAAAATACTGGATTCTTGAGTTTTGAAGTTTTTCAAATATTGACACATCTCATGTTGCAATACCAAAATATCACATCTGTTTCTATCACTACTGATCTCATTACAGAAGCAATTAGATACTGGGAAACAGACAAGCTCGTGGTGGCAAATTCAAGTTTTCCAATATTCTACTTTTTTAAAAAAAATCTTGAAATTTCTCATTGGCAACTCTTGCTCTCAGTTATTTCCTTTGAAGCTTCAGGCTCGGTTTCTCAGTTCTCGGGAAAATGTCTCCCTAATGCCATAAGTGTGAATTTGTGCATAAGTTCTTTCAAGTAAGACTGGTGTCCGTGAGAAAGCTGGCCAGCTCCAGCCCCAAACCCCATCCAGCACCAGGCTCCCTGGTGCCATGACCATCACCCTTCAGCGCAAGGTGCACACGCCTCACCAAACCTCTCATTCCACCTCACGCACTAGTAAAGGACGTGTATCATTGGTCCAGATTTAGTGAAATTAATACCTCTCCCCCATTTATCAAGAGTATTTTTAAGAGAAACTGACGTCACTTGCCGTTAGTGTCACATTTCCTTGTTCATGACTGTGTGTGCTGACGGGGAGAGTGGGCAGCTGGCGGTTTGCAGCTGTTGCGTTGATGCATGTATAGGTGCCAGCAGGCTTAGGTGCACTGCATTTGCACTCTCAGTATGAGTGTCAACACCATGAGGTTCCCATCTTTTTTCTGTATTTATGAGTTGGCTTTCTACTTTAATAAAGAGCTTTCACTTATTTATATGTCTTTTATTAGTATGGACTCATGAACTCCTATTTGATTCAATGAGCTCTAATCTGTTACAATCATTGCTTATTTTGTTGTTTAAATTGTTACAGCTTTGGAAATCTGCTTCTTTCTTCCACACATTCTCATCACAGATGGTCTTATTGTCCTTGCCCATCACTACTGGCCCTGAAATTGCAAGGCCATGTGGACTTGGAGCTATGGCAAGTTTTCCTTGCATTTCAGCCTTGAAAGGTAACATAGTGATGTCTTTTTCTCTCTCTCTTATAGCATTTTTTCATATACTTTTGCCTGGAAGGGAATTAGTTTGTAACATAGTCTTTTCATTTCAGGAGATTTATCAATATTTATATTGGCCACCTGATGCAAAGAGTTGACTCATTTGAAAAAGACCCTGATGTTGGGAAAGATTGAGGGTAGAAGGAGAAGGGGACGACAGAGGATGAGATAGTTAGATGGCATCACCGACTCAATGGACATGAGTTTGGGTAAACGCCGGGAGTTGGTGATGGACAGGGAGGCCTGGCGTGCTGCGGTTCACGGGGTCACAAAGAGTCGGACATGACTGGGCGGCTGAACTGAGCTGATCACTATTTATACTGGTTTGGAATTTGAGGCTGAACACTACTGAAAATCTTATTCCCACAGATTACTGACTCAACAAAAGATCTGGATATTTACCTAGAAGAATTTCCTTTGCAGAGGTGGCATTTCTAAATTCTCCTTCGTATTGGTTTTAGACCAGGTGTTTATAATATATTAACAGCTATGTTTGACAAATCAAATGAAACAGTCTCTGTCTTCATGGAGTATAAATTGTGAAAGAGATGTGACAGATATACAGAAAGAGGGGAACTTTGGTTAATATATTTTGTTCTTGTTGTATGTTTTTTTCTTTATTATTTATTTTTCATTGACTCCTGAACACGGACGAGGGTGAAAAACATAATGACAAACTAGGAAAAGGAACGTGACAGTTCCTTGCACGCACTAGTACACTCAAGGCCTGCTCTGCGTCCTTCACACGCACCAGACCTGCCTTGTGCATGCTGGTGGCTCCCCACTTAGAGTTTGGAGACTGCCTCCCCTGTTTCTCCGAGTTTTCCATCACAGAGACGAGCCCCCGCAGCTCGGATGAAGCTGGGCGGGCACTGGCACAGGTGCGAGGCCTGTGGAGCTGGCTGGCATCAGGCTGTTTCTGTCCAGAGGGCCAGGAAAGGTGCCAGGCTGCGTCTGGAGGAGCGGCCGCTTTCACGGCAGAGGACCAGGCTGAGCGCTGAGTGCAGGGGGCTCTGAAGCAGGGGGCCCACAGCTGACACTGTCTGTCCGTCTGCTCCAGGGCGGCGGTGAGGATGCCCCTGGGTCATCACGGGGAGCAGGGGACAGGGTGGTGGTTCCCAGGACAGCAGAGGCTGCAGGAGGCTGCACCGTCCACAATGGATGCCCACAGCTCACCCGCACTGTCTGCTTGTTGTTAAACCAGAATGACACCTGAGCCGACGTGGGTAATGAGCGGGCTGCCATCGTAGGACCACCGCGAGGCCGTGGCAGGGTTCCAGCCCCCACGGTGGTCTCTCCTCGCTGCTTCCTCCAGTGCACGTGTTTCTCGAGCGGGGCGGGCAGGGGGCCATGGGGAGACTGACCTAGGGAGCCCAGGCGGGCAGGTAAATGGCAGGAAGTTCTCCCCTCCAAGTGAGAAGCCTGCTCTTTACCCAAGCCCGCCCTTCAGCACCGGTTCCCGCCAGCCCTCAGTGGTTCACCAGGCTTCAGGCTGTGGCTGGAGGCCTTGGCTGGAGTCCAGGGAGGCAGAGCAGGGCCAGCAAGCCTCTCCAGCCCCCTCCGCTCTGCGGACGGAGCCACCTGGCTCTCCTGTCACCTCATCCGGACGCTTTTGCCTTCAGAAAAGAGCTGATGACACTCGGTCTTGTTCCAGAATCCCAGCTGGAGCCCTGGGCTTCGGTCTGGCACCCCCTGCAAGCCAGAGCTGAGCCAGCCCACCTCGCTGGCCACTGCTGCTGGCTCTGCTGCTCCTGTGTGTCCGCGGTGACCGACAGAGGAGGAGCAGGGCGGGGGGGAGGCGGGCAGCGTCGCCTGTCCTGCTGCCGCGAATCACTTTTCACCAGAATCTGAGTTCTAGAAGACTCTTGTTTCCCCAGCTGACATCAAATAGCTACGTGTTCTTTCAACTTGTGCGTGCTCCCCACTTATGGGAAGAGAACCTTGTTTTATATAACCCTGTATGTAACATTGTGGCTTACGGTTTCCTCATGTTTGGGAGCACCCTGGGGAGTGTAGGCATTCTATAAAATACTGAACTGACAAGAAGGTAATCGTGCTCATGTATTGAAAAGTCTGGTTTTCTTGGAGGCGAGTCCTTTACAAATGATAAAGTACATTTCCATAGAGTCGTTGCACCTTTGTAGGAGAGGCTAGAAGCACCTGTTCTGCCTGCTGTTTATGTCACATAAGCTTGTAAATCACATTCATGGGTGATTTGAGACTCCCACTGCCAAGGAAGTGGCTCCTCAGGTTATAACCCGAGTAAGCTCCCTCCTTTTCTCAAAGAATGTAAAACAAGTTAAGCCCAGCACCGCTTCCACCCACTGAATGTGAAGTCCTCCGCTCGGGCAGTTTGCGGACCCTGTGAAGGGCAGAGGGGTCCTGTGCCGTCTCCCAGAAGCGAAGGCATCTAGGGTCCTGCCGTGTTTGCACAGCACACATGATGCAGCAGACCTCTGCGCAGATCCTAGCTCTGTCGTCCATTATGTGTGTGACCAGTAAGCGCATCATTAAGAAAGCGACGTACTGTCTTCAGGATGCCCTCTCCTCATCTGTGAAATGGGAACATCACTACTGATGTGCTGACAGTGGCAGGATGTGTAAGACACGAGGCTGGGGTCCAGTGCAGGACAGACACTCAGTGAAGACCCCACGTATGAAGGAAGGAATCATCTAGATTCAGGTTTCTTCTGCACTCTGAACCCTCTCCTAAAATGGGCATCTGCACTTGTTCCTTTTATTTTGAAAAATTTATTTATTTTTAACTGGAGGGAGGACAATTGCTTTACCATATTGTGCTGGCTTCTGCTGTACGCCACCATGAATCAGCCACAGGTACACATGCCCTCTTGAACCTCCTTCCCATCTCCCACCTCCCCCCCCACCCAAGTGGTCGCAGAGCACCGGTTTGAGCTGCCTGTCAGACAGTACATTCCCACTGGCTGCTTTACACACAGTAACGTATATTTCCATGCTGCTCTCTCAGTCGGACCCACCTTCTCCTTCCCCTACTGTGTCCACAAGTCTGTTCCCTGTCTGCATCTCCACTGGTGCCCTGCATTTGCATGCCGCTTCATCAGTACCATCTTTCTATATTCCGTATATATGTGCTAATATATCATATTTGTTTTTCTCTGACTTCACTCTGTAGGCTCTAAGTTCATTTACTTCATTAGCACTGACTGACTCAAATGCATTCCTTTTAATGGCTGAGTAATATTCCATTGTATAAATGTGCCACAGATTCTTTATACATTCCTCTGTTGATGGACATCTAGGTTGCTTCCTGGCACTTGTTTCTTTTATTGTAGATTATCTGATCTTGGGACTTCAGAGGTGGCAAGCCTTCAGGATCTCTAACCTAACTGCTCATTGTAGGGTGGGTGCAGGTTTACCCAAGGTCACATCCAGCAACGAGTGGCAGAGCCCAGATGAACCCCTCAGATGAGGAGGGGAGGGTATTTTCCTTGTTCATCTGGGAGAGAAAATCACCCTTCAGGATGGAATAGGTGCAGATGTCTCTTCTACCTTCTAATTTTAGCATCTGAAGAGTCAACATAAGCTCATGCATTTTGAGCGGCCTTAAAGCTCGTTTGTTACTGAAAAGTACGTATGGATAGGTGGGACTCAGGAGATACTGCTGTTTCGTTGCAAAGATAGGCAATCCGCAGCTCCCACCTCCTGCAACTAGTCTTAGTCCACCTCCAACCCAGACTCGGGCTTGGTGAAGCATGTTAATAAAGTGATGGGGCGCCTTTGGCCACTGAGGACATCTGGGGAAGTGTGCAGAGGGACAGGCCGTGCAGCCTAAACATTTCTCTCACCCTGGAGTTTGCCAGCAATATTTCTACTTCCTTGGCTTTTTTCCTAAATTAAAGGATGCTAGAGCTGTGGAGGCAGAAAGGACCATCTGGGCCAGCTTCCTCCTTGCAGATGCGTTCACAGAGGAAGCCCACTCGCGGGCACAGTGATTGGCTCTCCAGTCTGGATTAGACCAGCTCTTGTGTTTCCTGTTCCAGATGACGCTCTGCACCTGTTATGCCACAAGCACTCTCGTTTCTTGCTGAAGTTTGTTTGTTAATACAGTATGGGAGGCAATTTGAGGCTGAAGTTGCATGCATTCAAGACTAAGAGAAATGTGGCTTATCCTGAGGCCTGTCTGTGCTGGGGTTACCCTGGCTCTAAACGGTACAGGTGGTGATGACCTCATTGGAGAGCCCACTAAACACACTCTTCAGTTACAATATGACCATTTCTGTTTTCTGCAGAGCTATTTGAAACCAGAGTAGCAATGACATCATTTTTGACTTATAGAAATTTCTCCTGTCTCTCTTAGCAAACCTTACACATGCAGCAGCCCTCATGTACCTGGCTGGGAAATACCATGACGCTGTGCACTGTGATGAGGTGAGCCCCCCGCCCCAAGTCCATGGTGGAGGACGGGAAGCCACTCAGGCTAAATGCAGGAAATGCAGGAGGAACAGGGGACCTGTAATTCTCACTGACTCTTACCTGAATGTAAAAGGAATTATAGCACTGAAAGCAAATTAACTAACGTGAGGACTCTTACCAACATATAATGTAGAATGGAAAAAGCAGCCCCAGAAGCAGTTGAAGTCAAATTCATTCATTTGTGATAAAATTACTTTTTTAAAAAGTTGAGAAGATTATTAAACACATGATTCTGGATGGTGCTTACATCTGAAAAGGCTTTAGGGGTATGTGATGAGCAGGATGCAAAAATGTGATGATTTATAAATTGGGTGGTAGGTCAAAAAAGTGGGGGAAGGTGTAAGATATTAAGCCAACTTTTGGACGGAACCTCTGACTTGTTAGCAGTCTTTATTAAGAAAGATGTCTTATTCCAGCAATTTCAGATAAATCTACTATCAACAGGATGCTCTCTGTGCTTTATAGTTTGTTGTTGCTGTTGTTTAGTCACTAAGTCATCCTTCACTATATCCCAGAGTTTGCTCAAACTCTTATCCATTGAGTTGCTGATACCATCCAACCATCTCATTGTCCATCGCCCATTTTCCTCCTGCCCTCAATCTTTCCCAGCAACAGGGTCTTTCCAATTAGTCAGCTCTTCGCATGAGGTGGCCAAAGTATTGGAGCTTCAGCATCAATTCTTCCAATGAATAGTCAGGGTTGATTTCGTTTCATTTCAGTTCAGTTCAGTCACTCAGTCCTGTCTGAGTCTTTGTGACCCCATGAACCACAGCACGCCAGGCCTCCCTGTCCATCACCAACTCCTGAAGTCCACCCAAACCCATGTCCATTGAGTTGGTGATGCCATCCAACCACCTCATCCTCTGTCATCCCCTTCTCATCCTGCCTTCAATCTTTCCCAGCATCAGGGTCTTTCCAAATGAGTCAGCTGTTCCCATCAGGTGGCCAAAGTATTGGAGTTTCAGCTTCAGCATCAGTCCTTCCAATGAACACCCAGGACTGATCTCCTTTAGGATAGACTGGTTGGATCTCCTTGCAGTCCAAGGGACTCTCAATAGTCTTCTCTAACACCACAGTTCAAAAGCATCAATTCTTCTCTGCTCAGTTTTCTTTGTGGTCCAACTCTCTTATCCATACATGACTACTGGAAAAGCTATAGCTTTGACTATACGGATCCTTGTTGGCAAAGTGATGTTTCTGTTTTTTCATATGCTTTCTGGGTTTGTCACAGCTTTTCTTCCAAGGAGCAAGTGTCTTTTAATTGCATTCTATATTGTTTAGGAATGAGAACTCCAAAATGCACGAGGCCATGGGCAGTTTCCTGTTTCCTGTTCTGTGGTAAATGGTCTTCATAACTAATATGCTGCATTCTGTTAGATGGAATAGGTTGGGGAGACTAAAAGGTGAGAGTGAAAGCTGAGCTGCAGTTTGCAAGAGATGACAAAGTCACAGAAGAAGGTTTGTTTTTAGTGAATAAGTACATTAAGGTGCTTGAAAAGATGGCTGTTGCACCTCTAAGCAACAAGTCAGAATTCCAGGCGGGAAGTGGGCCCTGCTGGGTGTGGCCTGAAGCACAGACAACTCTTGGACTCCAGTTTCTCTCCACACCCTAGTGGATGAGAGGAAAGGAGGTAGAAATAACCCAGAGGCTGCTGAAATCTGGCACAACCTAAGTCAAGAGAATGGGAAGGGCATCATGGGGAGAGAAAGGAGGGAGAGTAGTTGTTCTGGATCTTTCTCTAGAACCGCAGACACAGAGCCGCTCCTGGGGAGAGGGAGGGAGAGGGGCTGTCTCCTCTGTCATAGGGATGGGTGTGGAGGAGGCTGCTGAGCAAGTGAAGCTGAGTGGGAGCTGTGAGGTTGCGTTAGCCCCTCTTCCCTGGGCTCCCCTTCCAGCCGTGTTGGCTCAACTGAGCTCAACTTTTTCAGGACCTAGTCACATCCAGCAGGGGTGGAGTGCACTATGAGAGCCTCATCCCCACCCCTAGGGGGGAGGCTAGGCTTGGTTGTCCTGCTCCGAGCCTTGCTCTGAGCACCCCTGGGCTGCACCCGGAGGCCATCCTGGTCGCTGCCTGACTCCGAAGCCCCAGCTCCGTCGCTCATGCTGGCTGCGTCTCCCCGGGCCAGGCGCTCAGCTCTGCCTTGGTTTCTCGGCTGCTTCCTGGTCTCCTCCTGAGGCCGCTGCCTAGCCCTGCAGCAGCCTAGGGGAATGTGTCTCCTGCTGAAAATGTGCAGTGGTCTAAAGCCTGCCTAGCTCCAGGAAGGGGGACCCTGATGGAGTTGGCATGCACTTCAGGTGTAGAGCATGTTTCTCTGACCCCACAAGTAGGAAAGATACGGTCGTATGGACTGGTTCTTTAGTCTGGAGGTGGCTCAGTACCACCCTGGCAGCCAACAGCCTCCATAAGTTCTTCTTGGAAAGAAGGTCCTGGCTATGACAGGATCTGCCAAATTTCTTCAGACCCCTCACTGCCACCCCATCCTGCTGAGTTATGTGGGGATGTGTTCCTCTGCCAGGAAAACATTTTTAAGGCATCACATGAACCTCCTACTGGTTAAGTCCCAGGGCTGTTCCTAGGTTTCCAGCCTCTGTGGGTGGCGTGGGAGGCATGTAATCACTAGGGGCATGAAGTCAGAACAAGGAAACCCAAAGCAGCAGGCCCACTTGGAATGTTTCCCTCGACTTTTCTCATTGAGGCTGGGACTTGGTTTGCTGGGAGGTTGTAGGTTTAATAGTGATGCAGGAGTGGACCTGCTAGGTGTGCCTCAGCCCAAGAAGTGCCAGCTGAGGAGCATGTGGCTAAGGAGACCACCTCATTGGAAGGATGTGTGGTCCAGCACCAGAGGGGGAGCTATGCTGTTGAAACTCATAAAGCTGAGAATAAAAATACCCTGGAGACAAACTAAAATATAGGAAAACATTTTTATGTCCTTAGGGAACAGGAAGACCTTCTAAAATAAGATGTACAAGGCAGAAACCAGAAAGAAAAATCATTTGTTTGAACAATGTTAAAATTATTTTTACCAGTGGTAATAGTTACAATATATACTGTATGTGACTAGAAAATTGAAAGTGAGAGTCCAGGGTATGTAATGAGCTCCTACACATCCACAAAAAGGAAACAGACATCCCAATAGAAAAAGATCACAAACAAAATCTGAATGTGTAATATAATAAGAAAAATAAATATATATTTTAATGTTCATTTATCTTTATTTATGTGTTTTACTTAAGCATATTGTAAATGCCCAGATTCACTAGGAAAATGCAAAATCAATACAAAAAAAAGCAAAAGAAAAACCAAAACAGCTATTTAACATTCATTGAACTGACACAAATGTTAAAGTTTGATAATAGTAAGAATTGACAAGGATATTAATAAATGGGCCTTTCATTCTTATGGCCATTTGACAGTATGTGTTTAAAATATCCCATGATTTGACAAAGCAGTTCTCTGTTGCCATACCTCCGAGAGAGCCTTGCAGAGGTGAAGAGAAGGGGGTATACAATGTCCACTGCAAAATTGTTTCTAATAGTGAATGACTGGAAACAAACTACCAAGGGGCTATGAACAAAGAGATAGTGGCTTAAAAAAAAGACAAGGTTATACTATGGAGTGTGTGCATGTGTGGTGTGTGTGTTCAGTCGTGTCTGACTCTTTGTGGCCCCATGGAATGTATCCCACCAGGCTCCTCTGTTCATGGACTTTTCCAGGCAAGACTATTGGAGTGGGTTACCATATCCAGTACTATGCAGTATTTGGATAGAATAGGCTGGATTTCTCTATTATAATAGAGAGAAGTCTCTTTTTATAATTTTTAGCTTGCTCTTTTCCCTCAGGAAAATGTTCTGGGGACTTCTCCCTCCTCACACACACACACAAAATTGATTACCATGGACAATACCTAGTTTTTTATAAAGAGGGATGAATTGATATTACATAGGAGTAGTATCAAAGACTATGTCCAAGGATCACAAGGTTTATGGAAGAACAGGAGTGTGATGACACAGGGGTCACAGTGCTGTGGAGCTGAGGGTGGGTGGGGGGGGATGGATGCTGTGTTCTGATACAGGTCACAAAAGAGAAGTAAGATACAGGACAGCTGACGGCCAGAGATTTCAGCTGGAGTTTTGCTGGTCATCTCATTCTGCTAACTATGCCTTTTGTCACTGAGAAATTAATTTTCTAGAGCAAGGAGAAAGTCACTGTGGGACAGTTTCTGGATCTAAGTGAAAGATTGGTTACTAAGTATAGAAGAAGGCAGGGATCATGCTAGTTTGGTTCAACAAATCTTTATTGAGCACTTACTAAGTGCCCGTTACTGCTCTAGGCACCAGAGAATAATATTTAGTATGACATAATATTTGACTCCAAGAAATTTTGTCTAGTGTGGGAAATACTCCACACAACAGAATTCTCAGTATTGATGTAGGGGTCAGACGTGGCTTCCTGGAGGAAGTGGCACAGGGTTGGGTGTTGTTGGGTGAGTGACAGCTGGATCTGCTGGGGAAGGTGGCAAGTGCAGCATTGCTGGACCAGACAGTGATGGGCTAGTTACAGGCTAGGAGGGTGGACAGGCTGGGTTGGCCCACAAGGAATGAATGTCACACTGAGGCATTTGGATGAACAGAGTCAAGAAGGTGAGATATGTGGTCGGATCCGGGTGCTAGATAAATCTGCTTGGCACTGGTGGTTAGTGGGTGTATTGGAGAAACCTGTCTTTGGAGTTAGGGAGATGAGCTGGTGGCTGGTTTTACCAGTGAAAGTAAAGTCCTAACCAGCTCTGCTGTGATGATAACAGAGAACATGTCTGGGTAGAGTTAGTACCAGGTCTAGCAAGGAAGGCAGAGCTGCTTAAAGGAAAACTCAGTGAGGAAATGCTGGAGGTCCTAGGAATAAGTAAATATACCCGAGAAAAGGGAGTCACCTGGAGAACCCACTGTGGTTGTTCTGGGAACTCCTTGGTGCCTTCAGATTTAGAAACTTTAAAATCATCTGTGTCGTCTCAGGAAAAGGGGGGATGTAAGAAACGAGCTGAGGCTCTGATGGAGAGCAAGGCCTTGGAAGCTTGTCTACCATCACATCCCCAGTGTCCAGAACAGTTCTTGGCCCATGGTGGGTCTCAGGGATGCTTGTCAAAAGAAAATGAATGAATGAATGAAGTCTTCCTGGTGGTAAAATCTGAACAGTTTTGACCCTGCTAATGTAGGATTTATTTAAAAGACATTTCTCTTTTCTTTAAGAAGATCCTTTTATTTTTTAACTTTATCTTTCTAAATTTTTGGTCACACTGCACAGCATGCGGGATCTTAGTCCCCCAACCAGGGATGGAAACTATGCACACTGCAGGGGAAGCACAGAGTCTTAACCCCTGGAAAGTGAAAAGTGAGTTAGTCACAGTCGTGTCTGACTCTTTGAGATCCCATGGACTGTAGCCCACTAGGCTCCTCTGTCCATGGAATTCTCCAGGCAAGAGTACTGGAGTGGGTTGCCATTTCTTTCTCCAGGGGAATCTTCCCAGCCCAGGGATTAAACCCAGGTCTCCTGCTTTGCAGGCAGATTCTTTACCAGCTGAGTTACCAGGGAAGCCCTAACCCTTGGACCACCAGGGCATTCTCTTTATTTTGCTCAAAGGTTGCTCTGCTTCTGCATCTCCCATGTTACAGTCTGTACTTTTTAGATTAAAGAACCCTTTAATTAAACAACCCTTCTTGTTGTCAGAATGTCCTCTAGCAGTGGAGGGGGGAGCATCCCCCCTTGTGACTTTTGGGCAGCTTTCATGTGTGTGTGTGTGTGTGTGTGTGTGTGCGTGCGTGTGTGCATGTGCATGTGTGTGCATGTGTGTGTGTGCGTGTGCATGTGTGTGCGTGTGTGTGTGCATGTGCATGTGTGCGTGTGTCTACTTTACTTGCTGCAGAACACCAGCCTTCTTCACAGTGCCTAACACTTCTCTTGGCACAGAGTGAGTTCATAAATGTCTGCTGCAGTAAGCCAGTGTCTGTCGTTACTGATGTATACTCTATTGGCCTGTCATTCTCTGGGGGCCCAGAAGGACTGTGTCCCAGGGTTGCTTGCTTTGACTTTGTGTCTGCAGCCCAGGCAATGTGCAGCTGACCCCCAGGGAATACCCCAGCTCTGTGGGCTCTGTTCCCATAAAGGTTGACATGATTTTTCCTATGTCCAAAATGGTAGTATAACACTGCATTTCAAATGTTTTTTCATCTGTAAAATGGGAAAATCATTTTTCTCTCATAGTGTAGATACACAGTTAGCACAGTGTCTGATCTATGTTAACAACCAGTATTTGCTATCAATTATTATTGTTTCTTTAGTTAATTCTTTCATTATTCCAAGTATTAATTAGCACTTCATTATTGAGTGTATTCCTTCTGTTAGTGTAATGGCAGAAGCTTGAAATCCTTTTTTACTCTTAGAGGTCAGCTGGCCTTTTCAACTTGGATACCTGGAGAGAATTAAGCCCTATGGGAAGTAATCTAAGTGATTATTGTCTTGGTACATAACTAGCACAATGCTAGACAGGTAAGGAAATGTTATTAGGTACCTGCAGCTGTTGTTCAGTCGCTAAGTAGTGTCTGACTCTTTGTGACCCCTTGGACTACAGGACCAGGTTTCCCTGTCCCTCATTATCTCCCAGAGTTCGCTCTAACTCATGACCATCGAGTCGGTGATGCCATTCAACCATCTCATCCTCTGTTGCTCCTTCTCCTCCTGCCCTCCATCTTTCCCAGCATCAGAGTCTTCTCAGTGAGTAGGCTCTTTGCATCAGGTGGCCAGAGTATTGGAGCCTTGGCTTTAGCATCAGTCCTTCCAATGAATATTTAGGGTTGATTGGTTTGATCTTCTTGCAGTCGGGGGACTCTCAAGTATCTTCTTCAGCACCACAATTTGAAAGCATCAATTCTTCAGCATTTGGCCTTCTTTATGGTCCAACATTCACATTCGTCTGGTTCAATCTCTTGTGGGGTCACTTCTCCGTTCCCCTGGATCCTGGAGCAAACAAGGTTTTTTTTTTGTGCCTTCCTAGAATCTCTGGAAGATATGGGGTTTGGTTTTAAGATAATTGAGCCCCTCCTACCATCT